CTCTCATAATTCCGTGGTAGGAGATATACCTGAATCCATATGTTAAGCCAATAATCACTCTCACACTATTGATCTGTCCCATAACTCCTTTAGTGGTGAAATACCAACTCGTTTTTTTTGGAATGATTCGCGTGTTAAAACTTGATGGAAATAAAATCTAGGGCCACATTCTGGATTCCGTACCTGGCGATTTTATTCTGAGAGCACTAGACTTGAGCGGAAACACCTTAAGAGGGAGGATTCCCGTATTCTTGTCCAAATGTAGCAATCTAAAAATTTAAATCTTGGCAACAACTATCTGGAAGACAATTTCCCATGCGAGTTGATAAGAAATATACCAGGTTTCCGCGTCTTCATTTTACGGTCCAACAAATTCCATAGAGAGATCAGCTGCAACTGGAACAACAAATATTAATTCTGGCTAAGTCTTCAGATCATGGATATCGCCAACAATAATTTCACTGGTTTTCTTCCACCACAACTTTTCTTGAATTGCAGAGGAATGATGATTGAGAATATTGGTGCTGCTGAAAACAAGAATGATATCGATCTACCAGACAAATTGCTCCCTGAAATGCCGTACGGGAGTTATAGTTATCATTTGCTTGGCATAAGCCTGATCATCAAATGTTTGGAATGCGAGTTTGGTAGGATTCTACCCATCGTTACCGCGCTAAATTTCTCATGCAATAATTTCCATGGAAAGATACCAGATGAAATTGGAGAATTAACCGGACTTTACCATCTCAATTTGTCTCATAATGCACTTGTTGGTGCGGTTTCAACTACAATTGGACAATTGGCTCAGCTTGGATCGTTAGACCTATCAACGAACCAAGTCACCTTGAACTCCCATCTCAAAACCAATTGGCAATGAGTGAGGTGGCTTTTGGTACTTATAAATAGGTGACAGATCATTCACGACACCGATGTGGGATTCTTTGTCCCAACACCCTCTCTCAAGCTCAATGGGGTCTTTAGCCTATTGGGGTTGCACAATACAACATAATTTACCAGATATATTGCTGGGTCTATCCACAACTCCGGATATATTGATAACTCCGGATATATTGCCGGGTCAGTCAATAAACCCGTACACACTGGTCCACATACTTCGGATATACTGCCGGGTCAGTCCACAAGCCCGCACACACGGGTACATAGTTATCACAGGTCTATAGATAGTGGGCTTTGAAACCATGTCAAAGTCACCTTGGGCTCCCATCTCAAAACCAATTGGTAACGAGTGGGGTGGCCTTTGGCACTTATAAACAAGTGACAGATCTTTCACGATATCAATATGAGATTCTTTGTCCCAACAAAATTCCACTCATCCTTAAAATCGTACGGACCTTCGAGTTCTGAACCTCTCTTATAACCAACTGGTTGGGAAAATTCCAAGTGGTAGACATTCCCCGAGTCTTCCTTTCTAGAAAATAATAGATTTTGTGGAAATCCGTTGAACATAAGCTACAATGGGTCATCATCAGCACAATTATCTCCAGTAAGTGTCGGTGCATCAAAGATTGAAGAAATTGATTGGGAATACGTATATGCTATCGTGGGGTTTGGTTTTGGACTTGGAATAATTTTTTTTTGAATTGTTTTAGTCCAAGATAGTGGCAAAGGTTCAATGCACTTATCCTTCATATGTCGTGAGACTCTTTGGTGTTCAGGTTCAAGAAAGGTCGTTCAGAAACCCAATCCGGAGGCTTTATGAATTTGGAATCATGCAGAAATGTTCTGCTTTTCCAGTTGCCCAATTTTTACTTCGTGTGATGAGGAAAAACCCAAGGCCAGATTGAATAAAATTCAAAGTGAATTTCATCTTGTCATTATTACATACTCCCTCTGTCGCGAAATTATTCTCAAATTTGAATTTTTATTTTTAGTATAATTTAAACTAAAATGAGAATCAAAATTAGATAATAATTTTAGAACGGGAGAATCGTATATATTTATTAACTTTCAATGGCTTAGTTTTTTTGGCCATTCATAACTTTTATTCAACTCGATTTTATAAATTATACGGTACTTATTAGGGGTTTCGTATCCTTCGAAAACTCGAGAGTTTTGATAAATTGATAAGTATCACCAGGACTAAGGAGTCAACGAAGTCGAAATTGATAGTTACATACAAGTTATGATGTATGTGCCTTTATGAGAGAGGTAATTGGGGCACTAGTTGAAAGCCACACCATGGAAGAACAAGAGCTATAGAATGTTTCGTTAGCCGGAAACTGGATCGCAGCTTGCTTTAAAGCTTAAACGAAGGAAGCTGCTCCCGATTGGAAGCCGAATCATGGGGAGTTTTGCAATTAGCTTCAAACTTGGCAAATTTGCTGAATCCTATCAAAGTTATTTCTTGCGGCCATCAAAATAATGTGAATCGTAATCAACTCTATAATTCAATACTCAACTATATAGAGACATAGTAGTAGTGCTGAGCCGACGCATTAGTCTCGGCTTTTGAGTGAACCCAGTAATTTAGTCCCAAATTGTTGAATTTGGAGAAGAGATAAGATAAATCATAATTACTAATAAGTTGGCCTAGCTAAAACTCGTTGTAATCAAGGCTCTTACCATGCAAATTGCAAATGCAAATACGTGATGATAATGACAAATATTACTCAATATATATATATAGTTGTAAAAACTTATTTTATCACAACAAAACTATATATCAGGATTGAATAGAGCTAATTCACTACATAGCAGGAACAACCCTTAATTTGACAATTGGATTTTCTCTAATGAATAAAGTACTTGAATCTTGAATACGGCAGCTAAAACAATCAGCCACAACACTAATTGAAACCATCATTGGCCGTATTTTGAGTCCTTTATTTTTTCTTGATTTGGCAATTTCCTCAGCACAAGTAGAAATCCGTTGTAGCATCGAAAGTTGCTTATGCAATGGTATTCCGAATTTCATAAGCAATCTTGAAATCTTACCCAGTGATAAGCTCTCGCAATGTACCCAAAAATCATGGTAAGAAGTAGCGCTAGCCAAATCAAATTGGACTAGTTAAAACTCATCTTCAATCTCTTCATTTATTAATGGAGTGGGTAGTGAAATTCTACCTTAAATTTGATGAAGAACATTGGACGATCATCACCACAATCAAGTATTATGTCGGCAAGTTTTCGCGTGATCAGGAGATTATCGTCCTGCCACGCGTGACAGGAATCGACCATTGTTGCTTCAGATTCAGACTCCATTCTGCGAAACGAAACTAAAAGGTTTTGAAGAAAGGGGAAGAAAACTAAAATTAGGTCAGCGAGATTTTTAGTTGATGATGGTGTTTTTTTGTTGTTCTTTAAGGTAGAAGTACTGGAGAAGGTGATTCCTTTATATATGCAACGTTGAGGCCGGTTGAATCCTCTTCCTATTTGAAAAACGAAATGAAGAAAAAAAAAAAGCTTTGGATATTGGCAACAAAAATTTGTAACTTTCCTAATATCAAATGGATTAGTATTTCTTGACAAAGAAAATCGGAAAGTGTTTCCTAATACAAAATGGATAAGTGATGATGGCTGGGTCGCGCCTTCACATTTCTACTCCCAAGTCCCCATATATGAATTTGATTAATTCAACGGTATTATAAATTTATAACAACTATTTACGGGTCACGAAATTAAATCTAATTCCAAGTTTTTACTTTCTAAATAATATAGATGCATACTTTCTAGTGATTAAAATGTATGCAAATTAGGATTTTGCGAATCATAGAGTTGCAAAATGAATTCCATAATATTTAATATGGGAAAAGGTCAAAGACCCCCCAAGTTATGTCCAAAGGACAAATTTTTCCCAACATTTTATATAAGGACAATAACCTCCTTGATCGCTAAGTCAAAGGACAATTTACCCCTTGCATCAGCAAATCTTGGTGTGAAAAAACAAAAATACCTTTAAATCTAAAAATAATTTTTTTCAAGATCAAATCTACTTTCTAATCAATTATTTTATTTTAATTTTTTTGAATCCTTAAACAGTTTGACTCCGATTAAATCTTACGCTTACTCCGTTTTGATGCATTATTTCTACGTACCACGCCGCCTTAATAAAAATAAATTTGAGATTCAGAATTTAATCTATCAAAACCATAAATTCTATTTATCTAGATTAAGTTCTCAATCTCGGATTGTTTTTTATTGAGGTGGCAGTGATAGAGAAATAATGCATCAAAACAGGTTGGTTGAAGGGTTAGTTTGGTGTAAAAAAATTCTTTCTAGATTTAAAGGCATTTCTGTCTTTTGTCATTAAGATTTGTTAATGCAGGGGGCAAATTGTCCTTTAACCTGGCGGTGAGGGGGTTATTGTCCTTATAAGAAATGTTGAAGGGGGAGGGGGAATTTGTCCTTTAGACATAACTCGGGAGAATTTTTGTCCTTTTCCCATTTACTATTGATGAGATATAGTCATAGAGCATTGGTAAATTCACTCACGTTCTGGGTAAATTTTAATTCATGAGGATTCAATACTGAAAGAGTTTAATTTGAAAACAGCCAGATTTCTGCTGGAGTATCTATTCTTTTGTTTCACATGGCATCCTGCCGTTGGGTAGTTCGAAAATTTAGTAAAATAATTTTCATCATTATTGAATAAAAATGATCATTTGAAAGGATACTGTTTTGTTCTTTTTTCGTTTTTATTTTCCCTGATGTCCCAAAAACGTGCTCCGCTAGTGGGTGGCTTTTCTGATTGTACATAAATTCCCCCATTGACTATAATCATCTACACTTCTTTTTCCATTTTAAAAAACGAATTCATTAATTAACACGTGGAAGCCGCACGGCATAGTAGTTTTAGTGATAGACTGATAGTACTTATTCATCATCAAGGAGAGATTGGCGAACTAAATGGATAAAATTCATATTCCTTCCTATAGAAAATATAATAAAAAACAAACCCAAAATTTGTATTCATATCTAATTTTTGAAGAGTTTCATAAGAACTAAGAGAACCAGTGATTATTCATGAAGAGTTTTTTTTCCTAAGTGTGTTCTCCAACTTGTATAGTTGTACGATCAGCGGCGGTTGCCGGAGGAATATGACCGTCGCAAATACATATATGGTTAACGCAACTGACGGTAGTGGTGCGGGGTGGACATACAATGTAACAATCTTGAGTCACTTCACAATTCTTCACTGCTTCAGTCCCTTGGAAAAAACCTGCAAGATCAAAAATAAAATATAAAAAAGTTATCAATACATCGATTTTTAAATTTAAAGTAACACATACATTTTGATTTTTGTTTATTTATTTATTTCCATAATGTATCAATAGTGATTCCCACTTATCTTGACGTGGCTCGAATATATGACCTAATACATGAGAAGTGTCTTACCATTAAACTACACCTTATTGTCAACACATACATTTGTAAAATTACAAAACTAGATGATATAAAATTAGGATAAGTTAATTACCGGACTATGTAACGCTGAGCGCTAGAAGAAATGCCAATATCATCGCAATTGACCTCATACTTTTTGCCTTATATTCTTCTGTAAAACTTTTGCTAAAACTATTAGAAATTAACAACACTGGTATGAGATTGATAGTAGTATAAATTATAGCTATGGTAAGGGGTCTTTATATACACCACCTAGTGACTTGAACAAAAAATCAATCATCAATTTTGATTTTTTTTTTCTTTTTACTATGCATGAACTTACTTTTAGTCAATAAGGAAAATAGTAAATATTAGATTTGCTAACGTTAATGGTGCTTTAATTTTGACTATAGGTGTTTTGATTGACTTCCAATTTTGGACAACGTTTTAATGCTAATATCTTGGCAGTTAATTTCGGGCTAAATTCTCCCATAAATGTACTATCTCTGACCCTAAAAAATATACGTAATCGATATTGAATTTTAAATTTATACTAAAACTAATATAAATATTAAAATTTAATGTGTATTATTCTTTTGAGACAAGGAAGTATAACTGAATGATAATGATAAATATGTTAATAGGTTTTCAAATTTGTTATATCGAATTGCTTCATACGTGTTTAAGAATTTAAGTATGTTAAGCTCGAAAAAAATTAAATGAAATAATTTTAATAAGATTTCGGAACTTATCTCGTGGTAGTAACGATCCACGGTACATAGCATCCGACCAGTCTTTCCAATTCACTCCTCCATTGAAGGCGTAATTTATAAAATTAGTTAGATTTCTCAACAAAATCATACATAAAGTCCTTGATCTCCATTTAATTATCAGCAAAATTGATTTTCAATATTATGAATTTTTTACAAAATTCATTAGAACGTATAATTAAGGACTGAAACCTATATATATACATAGATTATTGAGGAATTTCATTTCTCACTCATTTGACTTCTCCAATGATCATCTTGGTCACCCTAAACGATGATTCGGATAGGTAGCAACAATTGCAATCCTTATATAGTAGATTGAGAAATTTAATATATCACTTAAGTTTTGATAATAAGGGTACTTCAACCCATTGCACCAACTTTATGTGTGTCATACTCTCAACATACAAATGTATGATTACACGAGTAACAATGATTATATTGATAAATGAAATCATATTATGAAATAGTGCCGGAAATAATGTATAGAAGGGAAGGAAAACAAACAAACAAAAAACAGGCGTGATTGCTTCAAAGTATAAATTTCACTTCTTAAAAATGTGATTACTTATTGGATTTGTCTCAGCTGTGCCATTACATTATCGTTTGTAAATTGAAATGGAATGAAAAGATTCTATGAGATGAAAAAGCCTACATATATTAACTCTAAGACACTATTTAAACCTCGATGAGGTGAATTAGTGAAAATTCAAAATGTATAATTTCTGAAATTGTAAATAATTAATTTAACGTTAATATAGTACAATAAAAATAAATTAAATAACACGTATTAACATCTATTTTAACCTCTTTTTGATATCACATTCGGCATTCGAAACAACTACTCTAACAGAACGTAAAGAAACTCTATATCCCATGCACAAACTAGGGACTACAAGGCAACACACCCTTTGAAATTGTAGTCAACAAAGGTTAAACAACAAAAAAGATAAACCTTAATTGGGTGATATTGAGCCAATGAATAAGGCAACCCCGATGAAAATAATGAGAACAAGGCATTCCCAATATTTCACACTCAACCTCATCGAGCTTCCCCAAAAATATCATGCAATTCTTCTTCAAAACTGAAGCCCTTTCTTGATCTTGAACAACTTCACGAGCAGGATTTGTATAGGTTTCATCTTTGCAACATTTTATTTTATTTTTTATGACCAATGATGTACTTGAATCTTGTAGACCACATCAAAAATAATATGCCGCACGGTTTGAATTGAAACCATCATTTTGAGCATTTTTAGGCCTTGTTTTTACTTGCATATCCCATTTCCTCAGCACAACTAGATATTATGCAGTTTGGAGTGGTTGCTTATGTAAAGGAATTCTAGTTTTTGTTAGCATTCTTGATAATTCGCACCATGATAGGGTTTTGAAATGTATGATGAAATGATGGTTATAAATGTTTCTAGCTAACTCGAATTGGACTAGTAAAAAACATCTTCAATTTCTTCATCATCTAAGGGAAGGTCAGATGGGTAGTGAAATTACACCTTACATTCGATGAATAAATTAGGATGATCATCATTATCATACGATATTTCGGTTGATCATGATCGACTTTTGGTATGATTTCGAGATTATGATCATCTGACCAGAGAAGTTATACCATGAGAATTTTAATGCATTCTTGATCTGCTGAGGATGCTTTGGCATTCTGTTGTTTAGATAGAAGTCGTGGGCGAGCTAAGATTTGTGTATCTATTAAGAGGTAGTAAATGAGCAAGTTGAGAAATTCTTGAACAAAAGGAGTCCATGAAGTAATGAACAATGAAGTATTGGATTTGATTTCACAAAATAACTTGGTTCCGCATTCAATTAAAGTACTTGACGAAATTTCTAATGAAAAAAAATGGAACATCTTGAACCTTGACCTTATAACAATGCTCGATTCTACTATCTCTCTTCCTAAATTATACAACCATAAATAATGAATAATACTATATGCATGATACCTGAAAAATCATTGAGAAAATGATTTGTTGATTATAAAACGTACTGTACGTTTTTTTTTAGATCATTGAGTAAATAATTCTCCCATAATAAAATATATCCCAAAAGGCATCATAAAGTTTGGGTAACTTCACCTTGTTTCTGGATTCATATAATTCACTTTTTATTAGGATAGGGTTCAAAAATTCCCCCAAATTCATATCTTTGTTTTCTATAATTTCTCGATGAACGTCAATTTTTCTCTTTTCATCACTGAGCCAATGAGTAATTATCTTGCTAAATCACATGTACCAACCTCAAATTTGAATATCTGATTTACTCAAAGTTTTTATGTCATTATGGGAATGTACATGTATAAGAGGATTAGTAGATTATTGCAACATAGATAGATTTTTACTATTTACTTCACCTTTTATGGTTTGATAATGAAGCAACATACCGGTAATAATTCTATTTGGATAGACTTTCTTCTCCTCCTTTGGATTGAGCAAGGATGAATTTCTTCACTCACCCTATCCATGGTAAACGGTTCGTTCATTTTCGTTAGTATTTTGGAAAAAAATTATATTGCAAATGTCAGGAAAAAAAAAAACACACATTATGTTAACAAGAACTCAAAATATCAAATCCAGATGATGGTGTGGAGATCGATGCAAAATGCCCTTCAGACTAGAAGTGTTAAGAAGCGAGGACTGGCAGTGCCTATAGAATGTGTTGTCTCAATAGGGTAAGGAAGATGCAACTCATTCGTTTCTTCAATGTGGAAAAGCAAAAAGAATTTGGAGGCTGTCAACCTAGGAAATGCTATACGATGAGTGGCAATTACTATTTGTCAAGGGGAAAAAAAAAGTCAAACTTAAAATGAGTAGCAATTATTGAACAAACCAAAAGCATTTTTGAATTAAGACTGGTGGCCATAACCAAAATATCTCCAAATGATACAATATTCTTGGAAATGGAAAGGATTGCAACATATATGCATTGTCGCTGATACAAGGGCCGGGCAACTTGTTAAAACTTAAAAACACCCAAGTTCTTTTTACCTCAAAGAAAGAAAAAGAACAGAATCATACTCCTTCAACTTCATTTTAATACTCTATTTTATCTTACTGTTTTAATTCAAAATAATAGATTGTTAAATTGGAACAAATGGAGTAGAAGTTGCATTTCACAAGTCAAGCCCCAATTGTCATGGATCATCTTTGGCAGACATCTCAATCTTGATCACCCTAAATCATGAATTGCTGGCCTCCCAAGGTCCAAGTTTGTAATAATTCCATATGACTAATTTAAGAGCAAATAATGGTAAAATTTCAAATTTGACTGAGATGAATGAGGGTTGCAGAGATGGCGAAATTTTGTGATGGAGGCTTTTTCCTAGGAAGGATCAATAAGTCAAGGGCAAAAGAGATTTGAAGACATAACTATGAAGTGTGTGTATAAAATAACAAGATCAATTCTAGAGAAATTAGAATCGTACTCATATCTTTACAAATTCATTCCTACTTTGCACATATAGACACTCACTTTGCAAAGATGCAGGCACTTTGACAGCGAATAGGGTATCGCGTTAACTGGTTTCGAAACATTCACCTGCTGGAAGCACCGAGAATTTGACTGATGCAGCATCAGCGATTTTTGTGGATAGCAGAGACGACATCTTGACAAGATAAAAGCCAAACCTCAACATACACAGACTATTCCTATTTGAGTTTAGGCCACACGTACTCTTGACGTATGAAGAATGTTATCATTCAGATTATGATGTATAGCTAAGACTTGTCGAGCTATCAACTGCATAGGTCAGCAATCTAGGCACTACACACCAGATTCCAAACCTGCAGGAGATGGACTTCATGTGACAATGGAGAACATAACAAAAAGAGAAATGAGGTAATAGCATTGGAAATGTAGCCAGTTAGTTGAAAGGTCACCAGCAAATTGGAGCCTACATGCTCAATTGACAAGTTGACGACTTGAAGAAAAACAAAAGGGTATACTAAATGTATAGAACTCCTACAGAAGGTTTCCAGCAGCGGTGAGAATAATGCTTGCTAAAGATTCAAATATGTATATAAGCAACTGCGACACTGTAATCTTGCTGTCTCATTTGTCATCTTCGAGCAGTGAAGATATTAAATAAATAGTGGTGAAAGAACTTTTAGCTTGCAAACCATAGACAGAAATCCCAGCTGAGGGGAGGGGATGAGCATATCACTTTGAATTCCACCTTCTGCTTGTAATTTTGGCATAAAAAATTACAGATCCAGAAAGGCAACGAAGATAATGTCCGATTCATCAACATGGTGTTTGCTGGATACATACATGGAGGGCATCATATGACATGAATTGTAAATGGTAAACTGTACCCAAATCAGTACTGCAAATAACCAAGAATATAAATTCTGATGCTTCTGTTGCATATAGCTGAGTGGTCAACAAAGACATTACGACATATCTGCACTATATTGTTACCAAGAAGATACCAACTGTGAAACCTTTGCGACAGTGTGAAAGCCGACGAGTTTGAAACACTAAGGTATAATGATGGGTGAATAACATTGATATACTTGGAACATTGTGATTCAGTGTAACTTCAATGTAGGTCGACGAATATAAAGACTATCATTTTCCTGCTTAACATGACTGAGACATTGTACAGTTTTGTTATGTCACCTACTTTTGAACAAACGCTAATAGCTTTATAGGATATTACATCTCCCGGAATCTTGTCCACGACGAACATTGCCATATGCTGAAAGTTCAAGAAGATCCATGTCACGATCTGCAATTCATTAATTAACTGGTTAAAGAAATCCAGCTAAAAGCTATCCAAAAGTGGAGAATGCCAATCCTTCTAAATCGATTCTTATTCCCCTTCAACCTAAAACAGAAAGTAGAATACAGAAAGTACCTTGAACCCGACAGTACGCGCTTTTCTGAATCAGCTCCGTTTTCGTGAACTCTGTACGGTTTCCCTTCGATCGGTTAACTGTTGCCTGCAGTAGTGATTACTTTTCAGGTCAAGGTGCAGAATAGTTTAAAGCTTCAATCAGTAAGACGTTTATTGACGCCATTGATCTTTATCATGCATGCAGCATATTACACACTAGGCAAGCAAAACATGAAGCAAGGTGTACTAGAGTCTACAGAGACAAAACAAAGACCATAAAGGTTGGATTTTCAAGGGCCAAGAGAAACAGTCACAAGATTCATCCAAATAGGAGCTTGGATAATCACTCCATTTCCCTTCATGGTTCACATAATTTTTGACATTGTCTGGCAATTTGTAATACATAATACAATATGTCAACGAAACAGACATATACTGCAGCTATATCAGATTACTAAGTTTTCAAATACGATAGCAAAAGAGAATGAAAGAAGGAGTATTCATAAAGAGAGTATCAATATTGAAAAACCATCAGTGAATGATTAAGATATAATGCAATTTTAAGCCTTAAGTATTCAGGTTCCATCTGTTATAAGACCCTTGGTAATTCTCTAACATCCATGTTTTGATTTATGTGGGTGGCTAACCAAACATAAAAGACTTGGACTAGTTTGTCCAATGCAGTTGACAATCAGACAAATTGGGCCCTCATTACATCACACAGAGCACTTGATATTGCAGGAAGCTGGAACAAGATATATCAGATGCATTTCAAAATTTCTTTGCTAACTTATACCATAACAATTTGGTCTCATATGAATCAAAAGTGCAAGAATTTTCTAACAGAGGGTCCCATTAAAGTAGTTCTTGTACTCAAACTAAAGCCAGGACTAAGCATCTAGAAGAACCACCACTAACTCGATTTTAAATGGACTTTCAGTATGAAGTCTCAGCCAATGCCAAGAAATAGTCTTTCATTTGAGAAAGTAAATTTCTCATAAAAGTGCAAAGTAAGAACTGAAAACTAGTCTCTAAAAGAGGTACAAGATGAAAAATTGTCCAGGATTAGACATCCTAAGCCAAAAAAAACACTCAACAGTTGTAAGAGAAAAAGGATAGAGAAAGGCTGTCTCTATAGTGAATAAAGATTAATTGCATGTTGTGGCTAAGGTGACACTTGAGTTATCATCAACTAGTAAATCATTCAGGAAACAAGTACGTAAGATGCAACACATTTTGCACTTAATTTCTTCAGTAAGTAAAAGAAGATGGTGAAAGTATGCACACAATTATTCCATCAGTCTGATAAAAAAGGAAACGAATCACAACAATCAAGAATATGCATGATATTCCTTTCATAAAATACCAAGTGAATTTCTGCCTACAAACATTACAAAATCTGGTAGATTGGCTAAGTCAATCTGGTGAAGTTGTAGAAAATGAGGCCTTTCAAACATGATAAACAGATGAGATGCGCACTTTTTCTTTGAGGATATGCACTATTTCATATGGAATGAAGACACCATGAAGAAACATAAACGGAGCTCGAGGATCTTTAGCGGTAGGCAAACATGTAACAGAATGTGGCCAAAACCAAAGCCCAGAGATTGAATTTAACAATGCCAAAAATGCTCCATTTGGACTAATTTTAGAGCTGGTAATGCACTGTCCAGCAGAATAGAATGGTAATGTCACTAGCCAAAAGCTGAACACAACAGTAGAACGGTGAAATAGACGAGCTGGTCCAGCTGGATGAGAGACAGTGAAACACTCTACAGAGGTGGGTAATGAAATATGTAAAAAATGCTTTGGTAAGTAAAGCCGGAACTCATTTCCATTCAATAGTGAGAACCTCAGAAAAACATCCATTTGAACTAAGAGTCGTTCATTTGCACAAAGAGGAAAAGTAACGAGCCTTAGACTCTTAACGTATACATAGAAATGCTATTACAATAGCTTGAAACGAAATGCATAAGCTGACATTGAAGCATGACAATTCTACAGATCAAGACTTCCAACAGATTCTGAATTCGATAAGAACTATTCCACAGTATTTCTAGCTTTGGATTCATTGAAAAACCCAGAAGACATTATCCACCTGGAGAATATCCTATAATGCTAGATCAACAGGGGGAGGAGTAGAACAGCCTGATTCTCAGTAGCACCTGCATGTACAGGGTCTAGGGAAGGATTAGGCCATTGTGGCCTGATGTACACAACCTTGCTTATATTTCAGAATAAAAGGTTGTTTCCATGACTGAAAGGAAGAGCTCAGTCCACATGGAAATAGCTTTTGCCGACGGGCCAACGCTCCCATTCCTTTTTCATTTTTCAAATTGAAAAGAGGAAAAGAGATCCAAATAGAAGCATGAATACCGTGGGAACACGACTAGCCAAAAGCTTAACTGAATGGTAGAACAGTAAAATAGACGAGCTGGATGAGAGATAGTGAAATACAGTACGGAAAGGAGTAATGAAATAAAAGGAAGTTTGAATGCATGTCACTGGACTCATTTCATTCAATTATGGAGAACCTCAGCAAAACATTCATTTGAACTAAGAGGAAAAGGCTCCTTCACTTGAACAAAGACAAAAATAACAATCCTTAGAATTTTTACATATTCTTAGATGTCCTATTACAATAACTTGAAGAAATGGTAAGTAGACACTGAAAGTGCTGCAAATCATTCTTCAGCGCAAGACTTTTTCAATATCTTCTGAATTCAATAAAAACATATCCTACTGTATTTCTAACTTTAGATTCATTGAAAAGCACAGATGATAGTATCCAATACTCATATTTCAGAACAAGGAAGTTTCCACGACTGAAACCATGAGGTAAGGCTGCCTTTCACTTTTCAAATTGAAAAGAGAAAGATAGATCCACATAGAAGCAAGAAGATGATATTTGACAGGGAAAAAATCACAAAAGATAAAGCAGTCTGGACAGTAAAACATAGAGCAAAGCAACAAGTCATTTTTCTTTAGAGGCAATTGCTTACCTGCAAAACCTGACAGTTCTCCAAAGTGCTTTGGCCTCCCTACAAATATTATTTCTATAAAATATTAGTTCTCACTTCATGGATATCAAATTGGCTGGCCATCGGAAAACACTGAGCAAAGAGACAAGCTAGGAAAATAAAACAAATGTATGAGTCATAAGATGACATAATGTTCAAGGGAAGAGTTTGTATACTTTGGTCTTGTAAGAGATTAGGAAAGAATAAGCATTTGGAGTGCAAATGAAAATTAAACAAGTGAAAGATAAGAAGAAACAATTCAGCGAAACACAGTACTCAACAGCTAAATCAACAAACAAACAAGCACCAAGAAAAGTCAGGAACTCGAGCTAACTAGGGGTAGACATGCCTAATCAATTAAAGAAAGGGCTTCCTTGTGCTGAAGTGTTTCAGGAAAACAAAGAAGTATTAAGCGACTAAATCATGGATTATCAATTTCACATAATGATTCATTTAGTTAATTGAGTTAGATAGTTTGATCAAAGATTCCCCAAAAAAGGGATATTCGGAGTGCAAGAACTGATGTTAATGCATCAAGAATAACATAAAAGGTTAACAAGTGCTAAGAGTATAATGCAACAAAAGAGAATTCAGAGGTAGCTGAACATGGCTTCAATCTAACTGGCAGCAATAGTGCCAGGCACTAATGCGTCCAGACTCCCTAAATCACCATTACAAGCTAAATATCTAAGGATCTTGGAGTTAAAAACATCGGCTGCTTCCCATCAAAGCATGATTCAAGTTTTAGTCTTTCAAAATCTGTACTCTTAATTTTCGCTGCAAAATTTTGATTCCTATGCTAATATTATTATCTCGCCACATTCTCAATTTAGAATCCCTAACTGACCAAAGTTAACCTTGCATGAAAACGTGGGACATTACTACTAACATATCTCATCAATATCACCCTCGAGATAGAGTTCCATTGCCAAATGTGAATTTCAATAGAAACCTTGAACAACCAGTTCAAGCGCAATATAAGAACCATATATTCCCATTATTTGATAATCCAGATAAAATAAATGATTCAATAACCAGCATTGCAAAATTGTCAGATAGAACAAAAAACAACACCTTCAAAAGCCGAACCAAAAAAAATTAACTGCACAAAATTTAACCCAAAAAAAAAAGGTCGGCATTAGTAGTACCTTGGAGTACGGAATGATATGGTCGTAATCGTGGCACAAGCAACCGGGGCAACCAACAAGCTTCCGGAATACCATATTTCCCAACGGGTCCCGACGCCATCGGTCCGGGTCACGGCCCTTGATTTTGTCCGCTTTCTCCCAGCACTGTTGCTTCACACTGTAAGGGAAGCTTCGCGGGTTCGACGAAGTCGGGTAGGACGAAATTCCGAGGTTCTCAAACGCTGCAAGCTCATCAGTGATGATGACGTCACGCTCCACAACCGAGGTTGAACGCGGAGGGGAGAAACTGGAGTTTCTGACCGTCGTTTCCGGGCTAGTCTGAATTCCGGGTCGGGTCTTTGTCGGAGACCCGTTGTTTCTCCTTTTCCTCCTGTTGTTTGTTGCCATCTCTTTATCTCTCGGAGGGAAAGTTCTTTTTGGATAATAAACACTAATTAGAAAAATTGAAAACCCCCCTTTGACCCGCCGGCGTTTGAAGTCAACGATAATTTCTGTGAAAAGACCAAAAACCCCATAGATAATCCGGCCAAAAATTAGGCAGACCTTCAAAAACGCACTGTTCGTTTGTGTTCTCATCACTGCCCTTTTTCTCTATTTCTGTGTGTTCTTCGTTCAAGTAGCAGAACTAGATTTTTTGTCTGGAAGGAAAATCCGACTGAAAGGTTAGCTTTCGCCTGTTCTATGCATTTTCCCACGTATTGAATTCAGGCTGTTGGTTTTTTTTTTTTTCTTTTTTGGCGTGAAATTGATGGGATGCTTTCGGTTGCTTGTGAGGTGTTTGAGTATGTGCCTCATTGAAACCTCGGTTCCACGATAATCTTTTGGGCTATTTTTTTTCACATTCTTAGAGCAAAATGCTTGTTTTGGTTCGTCTTTCCATCAATGTTAGACACAGAATGTAATAGTATTGGAGATGTATTAGTTATGAATAAGGCCTGCTTCTTATAGACGTTTTGTTTTCCTCCTGAAGGCAAAAAAAAAAAAGTAATTTGTTAAGAATGTCTCATTTTGTGTGTGCTTAGTTGGTAAAGTGCTAGTTCCATCTTACGTGTTTGATTTTAGGCTTGAACCAGCGTTTTGTTTTTGCATGATTTTACATTACCTCTTTTTGGTTTTCCTGAATTGTGATATTTCCAATCCCTGAGCTGTCATTATCTGTATCAACAATCTGCAATGCAGTGAAGATCACTCTCTTTTTATAGAAGGTGGTGAAAATTATAATTAACTGCAGCAATTTCCACTTAATATCATATGCATATCAGCTTTTGTTTGGATGAAAATTTGTGGATCATTTTTCCCTCATAGTTGCATTCTTTTTGTTATTGTTCTCAATTGAGGCTGGTAAATGCTATTGTTTTTAGCTAAGAGAGGTTATGGCCGATGTGAATAGAAAGAGGTCATTATTGTCTCGAAGAGAAACTTTTCCTATTAGATGCTAGCAAGGTTGAATCTTGAACAAGTGGTCTCATTGATTTGCTAGAAATTCGTTGAAACTCTTTTGACTTGCATTCTAATGAGAATTCAATGTAACTATCGGCAAGAATCTGAAATGATGAGACTTTGGTTAATTCATGTAGGTAGCGTGAGTTACCAAAGCAATGGGCATCTCCATTTGCGATGCTGTCAAAATATTTTTATAAGTTATGCATTGAAGTGTTGTTTATCATCATTGTTTGATAAATGTATTCCTGATGTTACATTACGCGCACTATACTTAGTGAAGTGCTGATTAATTGGGCTGATAAGTACCAAGGTGCAGTGAGAACTAGACTTCTTTATTTTTGAATGAATGAACGTGAAGATCAAGTGCTCGGACGCTTGCTTTGTCAATAAGCTCTTTGATTTGATTTAATTTACCTAGCACCATTTTCATTCTATTGGAGTGTTCCATTGCCTAAATTTCTTTCTTTCTTTCTTTTTTTTTTTCCATTTACACGGACAGAGTCCGATAGAAGGATGGGAAGTAGACTTGGAAGAAGAGTAGTTCATTTTGCAAACCTGCCAATTAAGCTCCTGATGCCTACATCCTTTTCCAATATTACTGAAATTGCCTTGAAAACAATCCCATCTGCTTCCAAGGTATTCTTTCTTATATGCTTGATTTGTTCTGATATTTCTAGTTGTTTGCTTGCGTTTAGTCATATGGGAATGTTTTATTCTTTTTGCTTAGATTGAGATTAAGAGGGTACTGGAGTCACTGTACGGGTTTGAGGTGGACAACGTAAGGACCTTGAACATGGATGGGAAGAAGAAGAAGCGTGGTGGTTTGTTGATTGCAAAACCTGATTATAAGAAAGCTTATGTAACCCTGAAATATCCTCTGTCCATATCCCCTGATGTGTATCCCATTAAGGTTATTGCGGAGGATAAGAAAAATTTAGCTAAACCTTCGCAGAAAACCAGCATTGAGGATGCTGAGCCGAAGAGTACACATTGGCTTGATGATCAAAAGAGTGAACCCAGAAAGGGGTCCTACAGATACAGGCGAGAGAGCTTCAGCTCAACTCGTGGTGAGCATGGCGGAAGCAGTACTGGGGATGGTGCTGCTAGGCCAGTTGCCAAATTTCCATGGAGCAGTATGAAGCCGTTTTCGAGATAGTTTTTTGACAATCTTCATATGAAAATTGGCAAATGGCACTTCAGCTTTTCATAAGTTCATTGCAGTTAAAGCGCCTAACTTTCCAAACTTAGTGGTTTCAAATAATTCAGGTATGATTTATGTGAAATTTTTCATAATTTTGAAGGGGTATTTGGCTATATTTGTCCATCTTGAGGATCACATTAGTGGAGTTCTGTTTACGGACTAATAATTGCATATGCACATTATTCAATCACGAGTATTCTTTAAGACATCCTGATCGTGAGTACAGTAGAAGAAATGGTCTTTGATTCCTTTTTTCCTATGGATTTTCTGACTGATATCTTTCAGATGATGTAGATATATTTGAAATAGAATGACCAGAAAGTCTTTAATTGTTAAATGGTACTAGAGTTTTACAAAGAAAAGAGAATAGGAAAACTAAACACCATCCCTCCAATTCCTGTCTAGAGTCCAGTGTTGATGTAGTTTGTTAATTTGTTTGATTTCATTGAGTTCCTTTCTCTTTCAAATTTTCACTAATTGGGAACTAATTAATTAAACAATGGCTAGCTCGCTCAAGTAATCTCGTGTATTAGTGAAGATAATTAGTTACCTATGTACCTTGATCACCTTTTGCTGGAAGTTGAGAGAATAAAATGAAGAGCCAACAAAAATAACAAAAAGATGTTTTCTTGAAGCATGCAAAAACTTTTAGACTTTCATATTTATTATTAAAGCTATTAAAACTTGAGTATCTAACTTAAAATCAATTAGTGGTTAATAGAATGGTCCAAGACTCATACATATTGATCGTTAGTTGGTTATCTTGCCGATGTAAATTGATAATGCTAATCAACAAAAGAGACATCTCAATTTAGATAGATTGGTATACATCCGATTAATCGAAGATGATATTAACGTAACTTTGTCCTGGAATAATTTTTCTCATTACTGAACTAAAGTAAGATATACCAACAGGATTTTTTCATTTCGGAACAAGATATCAATTAATTACTCACTAAAAGTGGTATACCAAATAATTTCCATTATGATCACGATTCATTAACAATTACAATGCCATAATCCATAACGTAGATGGAATTGCATGCGTAGAAGGAATTGAATAATGTGCAGAAGAGGGACCAAACCAGCCAGCCCAGGGTAAAGTGCAAACCATGCAACCACAGATGCACCTTATACTTTAAGTTCCATTTCTCAATATTAAGTGCAACAAATTGATATCTTTATGCATCTATGCTCTTTCTTTCAATAACCCTATGATATCCCTTCTTGTTAATTTCTTAACTTGTAACCAAACATTAATATGGATCTTGGAGGCAAGCTTTTCATCACATTAGCTACCTTTGTAGCAATTTTCTCATCCAATCATCCATTGGTCAATGATATTACCCGGGATGTATTATCGTCCCCTCTAATTAGCTGGATAAATAATTTGATCTCTTACCAGTACGATTATGATTATGGACACGATTATATTTATAATCACCACCACCACCACCATCATCGTCGTCATGACGGTGGTGATGAAAGAAAAGTGACGTCGATATGTGACGATTTTCCGACTGATTTTCCACCGCCAGATACCAACACAACGTCCACTATTTGCGTCGATCGGAATGGTTGTTGCAATTTCACCACCGTGCAAGCTGCGGTTGATGCTGTTGGAAATCTTAGCTCCAAAAGAACCATCATTTGGATCAATTCCGGCATCTATTTGTAAGTCAGAAACCACAACCCTGCTAAATTAATTACCATGCATCAAACAACTCCCTCTTTTGGTTCTTTGGGTTTTATTTATTATCTTAGAAATAATTATGGCAAAATTGTACATAACTTACCATTGATCACATCGATACATGCTTCAATGTGTTTAATTCTTCAAGTTGAAGTGAAGATATATATATTTGTGGACAAATAGACCAAGAAATTACGTATATATTTCTTGGTAGGTGGCCTTTCAGATCAAACTTATAACTAGCTCTTAGGATAATCAAAATTTCGAAATCATCATTTTCTTTTAACGGCTTCTTCTTTTATTAGTTGAATGAATTATCATTTAACAATTAATACGAGACCAATATTTATAACAGCCGCCTCACAGAAGCAATCGATACTAACATGCATTCCTTATTATTTCAAAAAAAGAAGGTTCATGTACATGTTTCAAAACAGTATGATTGATTACTCAATTATGTGCGTTGAAACCTTAATACTCGTACCATCTCGTTTTAATAACTCACGTTGTGTTGTTCTTTCTGTTCCCATAAAAAAAATTAACATTGGATTTTGAAATTTATACTTAAAAATATTACAAATCTCAAAAGTAAAATAGATTTTTTTTTTTTTAAACAGAGGGAGTTCTCTTTTGATTCAATAAAATAAACCACTAAATCAAATGGAAAGAGTAGAGAGTACTTTTGTGTAAATTATTAATTTCTACCAATTGTTTTCCAAAAAAAAAAAAATACAATGAACAAAACTCCTATTTCTAGACGGTGTAAGTACAAGGTTTCTCCTTTAGTAGAAGAAGTAAAGTTTTAAGTTATAAAACATGCATATTGATTGATCAACGCAATGCCACTGAGACATATGTAAATCAATCAAATAAATTGCCAGCGAGAAAGTGATAATTCCAAAATACAAACCAAACATCACATTTCAAGGACAAGGCTATACCTCAACAGCAATTGTATGGAATGACACCGCCAATTCTTCCCACGGCACATTTAACAGCGGATCAGTTCAAGTCTTTGCTCCCAACTTCATCGCTAAGAACTTAAGTTTCATGGTACGTTTCAATAGTTCTATGTCCCGAAAATACAGTTCACGTTATAATAATTGTGAATTTTATAATTTTTACAATATATAATGTGGATTATTTTAATGAGAAAAAAAATTAAATTAAATATATAATTTAGACGAATGAGTAAGAACATTCGGATCAGAAAATTAAATTTCAATATTCGTTTATAATTAATTCATAAATTAAAACTTATTGAATGTCGAATTTGCGTATGTATAGAATGTAGCCCCAATGCCGGCTCCCGGTGCAGTCGGAGCACAGGCAGTGGCAATTAGAGTAGCCGGAGATCAAGCTGCCTTTTGGGGTTGTGGATTCTTCGGAGCTCAGGATACTTTACACGACGATCGCGGCCGCCACTACTTTAAGGATTCTTACATTCAAGGCTCTATCGATTTCATTTTTGGTAACGGCAGATCGTTCTATGAGGTACATTATCCGTATAACAGAAATACTAAATCAACACGGTAAAATTACAGTAATGATGAGGGGTTGAGAAGTAATAAAATTATGAAGTCAAACAAACTAATATCACTACATCTTTATTTCTATCTCACGCATTAAGGTGAACTCAACATTTGTCATTAGGATAGTTGTCATTTTTAATGCATCATGAAATGTTTTTTTTTTTTTTTGCAATTTCATCCTTATCACTCTACTTTTAATAGTATACATCGATGACAATTACCTGTTTTTTATTTCAAATTTTAATTCTTGCATAGTTCTACCATTTTTAATTTTGGAGCAAAAAAGGTATTTAAAAATTAAAATCTTAATTATTATTTCCTTAATATTCATGAATACCGTAATGCAACAGATAAACAAATGGAAATAATATTTTCTTTTCAGAGAGGAAGTATAATAATACTATCTAATAAATTAATCATTGGGTATTGAACAGAATTGCCAGTTAACTTCAATAGCAAACCCAGTTCCGGTCGGAGCAAGGGTCATTAACGGAGCAGTTACGGCGCACGGCAGAGCTTCCAAGGAAGAAAACAGCGGATTTTCATTTGTGAATTGTAGCGTTGGCGGGAATGGTCGAATATGGCTAGGCCGAGCTTGGCGGCCATTTTCCACCGTTGTGTTTGCTTCCACTTCCATGACTGACATTATAGCTCCAGAAGGATGGAATGATTTTAATGATCCTTCAAGAGACCAGTAAGTCATTAAAAAAAACAAGGAAAAATAATATGCATTGTGAATGACTGATGTGGAATGTTATGATTTTTCTATTTTGTTAGTATTTTAAGTTAAAAATTTTATTCCTTTTAAAATTGTACTTTTGGCCTTAATTGTTAAGTATATATAAGTTATTATGAATTTTCTTTTTATATTATTTTTACTGGTTCTATCACTGTTTTAAAACTATTGGTCAAAATTAGACATGACAAATGTGACTCATACTAACGGTTCAATTTTTACAACTTGATACAATCATATTCTCGGTGATTGAAATTCCATCTATTTTATCTACAACAATTATCTCAAAATATACAGGGAATGAAAAAAAATGATTAAACACTAAGTTCAGTACATGTATTTAATCTGATTATTTTTTTTAATATATAAATTTCAAAAACAGGACCATTTTCTATGGAGAATACAATTGTAGTGGTGCTGGAGCTAATACAACACTGAGAGCACCTTATGCTCAGAGGCTGAATGATACCCAAGCTGCACCTTTTCTGAACATTTCCTTCATCGATGCTGATCAATGGTTGCAACCCTACTCATCATAGAGGACAACACATCAATGGATTTGAATTTAGTTTGAAGATTATTTAATCATTTTATTGTCAACAATTTGGGTCCTTTCTTTCAAATTCCTTGCAACAGAATAATTACATTTCATCAGTCTCAAGAGAGCTTTTGTATATGCTATGAGAGGCTTTGAAGATTGGCTATATTTTAACAATTTACTCCAACAGTTTCAAATTGATTGTTTCATTTTGGAACGGATGAAGAATTTGTAATTACTAATAAATAAATGAATGAGTAAATATATATTATAAAATCGCCTTATAAATATAGTATTCCGTTCTCCTGAAATGGTTATCCAGTTTAACATTTTATTTTTAGTGCATTACACTAAAAATAAAAATCTAAACGGGATAGTCACTTTGAGATAGAGAGCAAATTATCTTGTTTGCAGTAGGATCGGTTAGGTTCAGACAAAGGCGTGCGTAGTCGTACAAGATTGGACACAATCAGTACGTAATCGAAATCAAGACCTAATATAGATTTTGTAATTCAACCTATTTAGTTGATTTGGTATAGGGTAACATGATTTTCTTTAAAAATAAAAAATTCAAATTCATTGAAACAGTAAGACTCATCTCTACGCATCTACTCTTTTTTAAATCTCAGCTCACATGGCGCGTGTCCATTGATTGTTCGTACGGTGATGATAAATGGCTCTCAAAACTTGGAATTAATTAACCGTGAAAATAATTTTGGAACGGAACAATAATTTAATTAAGATTTATTTCCACAACAACAAATATTTTAAAAAACAAAATACATACACACATTGAAAAAACTGTAATTTGATTAAGAAAATGTAAGTCGGCAGCCAAATAGTTGAAAACAAAAATAATGATCATATTAAGAAGAAAAAAAATAGCGGAAAATGCATGCAATTATGGTTCAACGATCAAATCACGACTTACCGCGCATACACGCTCAGTGCTGGATGGAGGAATTTCGCTATATCTCTATTTTTATTTTTTATTTTTTTTTGTATATAGAGCTAAATTGCGGGGCAAATCTCCTTGGCAGTGGACCATATATACTTTTTTTACCTTATGAAAAGTATAAAAACAATGAAACCCCTGCCAAAAGGAGTAATTGCACAGTAATGCAGCTCCACATATATATAAATCATCTTCATCTTGGCTATGTATTGTCTTGATGATTGTGTTTGAGGTCGAAAATGTATTTATAAGTCTCGGAAATGGAAGCCTTTTAGGCCTATGTAAGTTGTAGCGTACCATGCAACAGTATATTCTACAAATATCCGTAATTCTCAAAACTATTAAGAAAAAGTTAACTATGGTCAATTTATTAACAGTAAGTAACTAATACTCTTACTGAGTTGTGATTATTCGTCAAAACATTTTTAAGTCTTAAACTTTCTTGGAATATTCTTTCGTAGCGTTCGTGAGATTAACTAAAGTCGACCTTTTTATAGGAAATCGTAAAGTGATGGCGTTACGATTTGAAGTTTTCCTTGTTTTTATTCCAGCAGAAATTACGATGAAATGTCAAAAGAGCAATAAACTGCCAATATTCCATCATCTATAATCAATATTATTATTCTTATAAAACTTAAACTACCAAAACCTGAAAATGAAAACGGAATAGGATATTAATTCTTTGCACAAAAATTTTCCTTGCCCCTCTTTTGAATTGCATACGCGAAACGAAGGAGGTTGTTCTTTTATTTAATGATTCCGACTTTCTTCATACTTACGGACATTAAATGAAATTTTATAACTATTAGGATGACCAGAGTGTTTTGAGTAAAATTAAATCTTAATTATGTCACACAGATAATTAACATGATATGCGTAGTTTATCATTTACAGTTAGAACGGCCTGTAGAATACTAAATAGTTTAAACATAATGAACTTGATTGAACTTGACAACTTTTTTAAGTCCATAAAGTAACTACTATAATAAGTTCAATAACACCAGATCAACGAGTCGAAAATATGCGCCTAGCTCTTCCGATGGAGTCCTTTATTTCTTTCATGCTGACTCTCTACCCTTCCAAGAGCCACAAATGAAAACTTGCTGAGGAATCCAGATTGAACAGGAATCTATGTGGAATGTATTTTAGTACTTGTGGATCGAACTAAAAGGGAAAGAAAAGTAAATTTGGGTAAGCAGAAAAAAAGAGAAATGAGAAAAAAAAAAAAGAAAAAAGGTACAGCAATATTTTAGCACATTCCTAAGGTTCAATAGCATTTTCTACTCTGTCCACTCATTTTCTACACATACTTTACATACTGTGATTCATAGATTTGCATCATTGTATATGCATGCATTATGAACCAGTGACATTGTCAAAATGCACAGAATTTCAATGGAGAGAATTAAAGCAATCCATATATTGTGTTGGGTATATAATCTGTCTTACATCGCCACTGTAAAGAGAAGTGACTCGGTATATAAGTTTCAAAACTTACCCCACTCATTGCCAATTGATTTTGAGATGTGAGCCCAAAGTACTTATATACTTTGACATATTGATAACCTAAATATTATTTAATGTTGGACAAAACTTAAATACTCGAAAAACCTCATTCATTTGTCAAATGCAAGAAAGACAAGTAATAAACAAATCCTCGTAAAAGTAAAGTTTTGATCCATATAGAGATACCTGAAATGTCATCTTTCTAAATCTAATAATCGGTTAGTATGTAAATCAAAAAAAGAATAAAAGAATAAGGGAAAAGATGCGGCTGCTCGCTGGTGATGATCAAGGGGAATCGATAGGACTATTTTGGATGCAGAAAGGTGAATTCAACAAACCATTTGGAATAGTCGCAGCATATGCCAATTAAATATGCAGCCATATGGTCTTTCTTTAGCATATCCCAAATCCATGTTCGGACCTTCTTCCCTATATATAGGGTTCTTCTTTCAGTCATGGGATAATTCAAGCTCCTTGTCGTGTTTGATGTTGAATATTCGTCGACAGACACAAAATTTAATGTGGTAAGAATAACAGTGCAATTCTCCTTTGGCATGAATATGAATGCAACATAGTGCATAATTTGTCCATGCCAAAGGAGAATTGCCCCTGCCATTCATTCCCACAAGTCCATATACATCAAATTTTATTTGATTGCCTAGGTCTGATTTTTAAGCTCTAAACTTTCATTGCTTTTTTTTGAGTGCAATGCCAGGAAAATGTTCGGGTCCCTAACAAATATTAACACATCAAGGCTTTCCAGCGTAATTGAAGATGCATTGTCGCATAAAAGTAGCATTTTAATTTATGGTACTATATTTATTTGCCATGATGTATTAGAATAGCTCTTCTTTAGTTATCTTTTTTTGGGTGGTTATTATTATTATTTTTTTCTTCTGGGCTGGTTTTTTTGAGGCAAAATGTTAGAGTAATCAATCGTTCTTATAAGATTAAGAAGAAGGTAGCTTAGCTATATATAGGTGCAGACTCACAATGTTATCATCTCTTGATATCGAATCTGATCATCTATATCTTCAAATGTCCGGGAAAAAAAAACAAAAGGAACAAGAGTTTCCTTCTTCTTTGTTTTGTGAAAAATTCCCCTTTTTTGGCCTTTGATTGCTATTCTCTCTGTTTTAAAATGATTTTCTTATTTAAATTTTTAGTTTTTAGTAAAAAGAAGGGTATAACAATATTTTAGCACATTCCTAAGGTTCAATAGCATTCTCTTTTCCTCAAAAAAAAAAAAGAAAAAAAAAAAAGAAAAGCATTTTCTACTCCGCCCACTCATTTTCTACACGTACTTAACGGATTGTAATTCATAGATTTGCGTCATAACATGCATGCATATTATGTACTAACATTATCAAAATGCACATAATTTGAACAGTGATAACCAATACAATGCAGATCTGGGGGATCTCAATAGTTTTAATTGTGTATTACCATTTAGTGTACGTTCATATACTGGAACATGATTTAATCCGTATTTCTCATCTAAGAAATTTGTATAATTTAGATTCTTAAAACGTGGAAAAGTTCGATCATATGTCAGATTCAAAAAAATATGTAATAAAAAAAAAACCTCCGTAAAAATAAAATATCATTGATATTGATACCCGACTTACCAACGTTTTAAATCCAATAATGAGTTAGTATATAAATCCAAAAAAAAAAAAGGAAAGACTTATAAGAATGCATGAGTCATGGGGAAAAAGAAAAGGTTACCACAAGCGGCTGCTCGCTTGTGATGTATGAGAACATTTTGCCCGCAGAAGAAATCAGCACTTAGAATAGTCGCAGTATATGCCAAGCAGCCAGCCGATATGATCTTTCTTTAATATTACTTTCACTTTCAGTACAACTAGTATATACTCCGTGCGTTGCACGACGGAATTTAGATAGTATTTTATTAAAATTTTGTATCATATAATCTTTAATCCCTATTTTTCTTCTTATAAAAGAACGAGTTTTAATTATATTCCAATATTTTAATTGATCGATGGGCTAATGATGACATCAACAATTTTAAAAAAGAGTAAAATAGTCATTAAACAAACAAAACATTTCCACAACCTAAAACCAGATAAAGTCAAAACCTCCACATCCAAAAGCGCCCAAAATTAGACATTGAACATCAAAACGACATCGTTTTGATGCCCTGATGAAATAAAAAACCTGACGTTTTGACGTCGCTCTTCCCATCCTCTTTTTTTTAACCGCGTCTTCAAAATTCATCCCCCCAAAACACCAGCATCACTCCTTTCCGCAATCTGAAGTAATGGGTAAGAACTCCGGCCTTGTTTTCCCGAAGCTCAAAACCACTCAGACGCTTTCGTTCTGCGGCGACAATTTCTCGTGTGTAAACTTAAATGTGCTTTTGTCCTCGGCAGTTTCCTCGCCAGTTCTTGCCCTCGATTCAGGTTTGCGCACTGCCTTTCTGGTTTACGATTAACGATTTTGCTCTTTTTGTAGTTTTAATGGTCAATTTAATTTTTCTAATTGATATTGGTTTTATAAATTTAAAATTTGATGACAATTTTGATCCTAATTAGTGTGGTTTACAATACTTCTTCGATGTTGAGTTTCTTGGACATCAATTTAATTTTTTTTGATTAATACATACTTTTCTAATCAGCAAGGGCCATTGGTTCTTATTGTTGGTTAAGTAATTGATTTAAGTTTTTCCTTCTGGCCAGTTAATTGATTAGAATTGCATGAATAGTGTGCATGTAGTATACATTGAAGATTAAGCACCAATTTTGCATCATTCAGGTAAACATGCTTCTATTTTTCTTAACGGTTTCGCTAAATTCTGGGTTCAATTT